ATTGGGATGGGAGTGTCAGAGACAGTGCGATTGGCACAGGACAGAGTGGAGTTTAGGGCTGTTGTACACAGGGTCGCTATGAGTCGCAGGCGACTTGACGGCACATAACAACAACAACAACAACAACAACAACATCAAATCGGATCTGACTGATATAGGAGGAGATTGTCCCTCCTTCTCCAGCAGAGCATCTGGTGGATTTGAACCGCACACCTCTGGGATTGCAGTGCAGCGTCTTGCCACGAGGCCACCAGAGCTTACCAAGCCTTGATATTTTCAGTTGCTTCTTATGCTTCTGAGAGTTGACTAAGGATGACAGAAGAGCTGTGGTGTTGACACAGGGGTTGGAGAGTCAGAATCAGCTCAATGGCAATCAGTTGTTATGTTTTTGAGGGGACAGTAAAGGAGCCCCTGGGAGCTGTGGTGATTTGGTCTGAAGGAAGTAGTGCTGCTAACCCAAAGTTGGTACATCTCTGGAAGTTCAAATCTACCCACACACTGCAGGAGAAAGATGGACAGTGTCCTCCTATGTGATTTACAGCCTCTGAAAACCTGCTATGAGTTGGTTCCAACTCGACCACAACAAGTTTTTTAAGAAAGGAGCCCTGGTGACATAGTCCCTAGGGAGTTGGGCTGCTAAACCAGGGCCACACCTCTCTCTGGAGGTTCAAATCCACAAGTGGCTCTGAGGGAGAAAGATGGGCAGTGTAGACCCCTCCTGTGATTCACAGTCTCTGGAATTCAGTGGAGTGTCAGTTATTAGTTGGTTCCAACTCAATGGCTGTGGGTTTGTGTTTTGAGTTTGCAAGGAGCTCCGGTGATGCCATGGTTAAGTGAGGCTGCTAACCAAAAAAACTCGAGACCCACTAGTGGTTCCAAATGAGACAAGGCCTGACAATCTGCTCTTGTAAAGATCATAGCCCAGAAAACCCTACCATGGCCATTCTTCTCCATCAGGTGGCCTTGCTAGTGCCGCAGTGTGACACTGAGGTATTGATAGACTGTTGAAACCATAGGGAGCCCTGGTGGCTCTGGTAAGGAATTGCTCTGCCGACCCAAAGGGAAGCAGTTTGAATCTGCTAACTGCTTGTAAGGGAAACACCTCCTATGTGATTTACTGCCTCTGAAAACTCACTGGAGGGTCAGCTATGGGTTGGTTCCAACTTGACAGGATATAACAACATTGAAAGGTTGTTGTTGTTGTTATGTGCCGTCGAGTTGCTTGCGACTCATAGCGACCCTATGTACAACAGCCCTAAACTCTGCTCTGTCCTGTGCCAAT